TAAAAGTGATTTGATATAAAATGTCTAATGGTTTTATTCTTTGAACAATATTTAAAAAATCAGTAATCAATCATCAATTAAGGGATTTCTTGTAAATTATATCATGTGTTTAAAATGAAAATTTGTAAACAATGGTAAATGGATTATCAAATTTCTATAATTTATTAATAGTTGTAGAAACTTTGAATTGTTATTTATAAATAATATAATTTCAATAGAATTTATGATGTATTTTATTAATTGATTTTGTAATTAATTATATAATTATATTCTGTATACTTTTCTTTAGATGAATTAAATTATTTAATTTATTATGTTTATTTTAGCATTATTTTGTTTTGTTTCTTCACAAATTATTATTGGATAGTTACCATCCAATATAAATGAACAATTGACAATAAAAGTAGATGCAAAATCAATTCGAATTAGTTATTGTTTGTCATCAGATTAATATAAAAATGGACTTAAGAAAAGTGAATTCAATTATCCTAATCCTAAAACATTCACTTAATTAAATCATAAATTATTGCTTTAATATATTACAAGTGAAATTTTAAATGAAATGGAGCACAAATCAGCTCTGTTTTATCATGAAAATTGGAGATGCAAATAATACACTATTTATGATTATTTTCTTGAATAATTTGAAATTTCAATCAATAATGCTAAGAATAGAATTCTCACAATACTCAAATAAGAGAAATAAGATGCAAGTGAATTTAAATGTATTTATACTAATTTATTATAGAAAGTTAAGATTGGACTTATTAATTACAACTTAATTCAAATACTCAATAATAGTAGATATAAATTAATTATAAAAATTAATCTAATGGACCTAAATATCATTATTAAAGAAAATTAATTGGAGCTGGATTACATTAATTTATTGAAACTAAAATTACTTTTGATAAATAGCCTAGTTAAAATGTGGTTATTGTAGATGAATTAGATACTTTTACTTATGTAGACAAAGATGAATTAGATAAGTTACCTTATGAGGCTAAATTAATGACAATTGTAGATATAGAAAGACCTAATGAACTTTCCACATAACACATAATTTTAAGTAAACACAAAGGGACATAAGAAATTACATATATTATGCCATATCATTTTCGATACCATTTGGCTTCAGATACACATTATAAAACATCATATGTTCCAAACATTCCTAGAGTTTATTTGGAATCTTAATAAGGTGATTCTCTAATTAAGTCATTTTTCAATGGTAACTATGAATAAGCCTAAATATCAACATACGAATAACATCTAACATATTAAATTCCAGTTGGATATTTGCCTTATAAAAATGTAGTGGTTATGATAACAATTGGTATCACTCTTGGATTGGCATTACATATATCTAATTTAATAAGAAGAGAAAAATAGTGATATTTATAAAAACAAGAATTAATATAAACAATAATGATATCAAATATTAAATCATATTCAAATCTTTGAGTAAAATCTTAATAAAATTTTTAATCTTCAAACCATAAATTTATTTATTCTTTTTTTTCATTATAAATCATTAATATTTATGATATCAAATTAGATAATTTTATTTGAATTAATTCATTATGAAATATTTTATTAAGAAATAAACTATTTATTCAAGTAAAATATTTTAATTTATATCATGAAGCATTTTATAATTTAATAAAATGATTTTCAATATTAAAATTATATTATAATATATAACTTATAGTAGGTCTATATTGATTCATAATATGATTCAAATATCATATAGTATTATAATTTATAATGTTTTTAAAATAATTATATGAAAAGAATACAAAAAAATTGGTATATTAATAATAAAGAATATTTAGGTTAATTAATTAATATAAATATAAAAATCTGATATATTTCTTAGATGGCAGGAAAAGAAGCAACTTTAGTTTTATTAGATGTAGGTGCCTCAATGTATGAACCATACAAGTAGGCTCAAGGAAAGAAAATCACAAGATTAGAATTAGCTGTTGATTGTTTAGGGATGATGATTTAATAAAAGATTTTTAATTACAAAAATCATGAAGTTGGATTAGTTTTGTTTGGAACAGAAGAAGCTGAAGATGGGAATACTTTTTACATTTAAACATTATCAACTCCAGATTTAGAATTTTATAGAAATGTGACAGAATTAATTAATCATGATATACCTAAAATATAAGGAGGAGATATTTTTGATGCTTTGGATAAATCAGTTAGTACTTTAGATGAATATGTAAAGACAAAGAAGATAGATAAAAAGATATTTGTACTTACAGCAGGATTTGGTTAGACAGATTATAATGAGAAAAAGATAGCAAAATTAGTTAAAATGATTGAAAAAGTAGATGTGAAAATCAATTTCATAGCATTAGATTTCATGAATGAATATGATGTTGAATTAGATGATCCTACAAAACCTGAAAATTAAGAAATTTTAAATGATCGAATGCTTAATGCTGTTTATGAAAATTAATAATAATCAATCAATTCTCGTTTAACTTATTATATGGTTTAAGAATTAAGAAATCATATGAGAATATTCCCCGCCAATATAGCATTTGAATTATATTCATAATTTCATACAAAATAAATGTAAGCAAGAGCATCTTTTAGAGGAGATTTTTAAATAAATGATGAAACAAATATTTAAGTATTAATTTATAAAAGATGTACAGAAGAAAAATTACCAAGTTTAAAAAAACATTCTGCTATTGGTGATTTCAGTACTGAACCTTCTAGAAATATTGTTAGAAATGATACAATTCATTATAATCCAGAAGATCCAAATATGAATCCTATTGAAAGAGAAAATATTATAAAAGGTTATTTATATGGTAGAAATTTAATTCCTGTAGATAGTATAATGGAAGATAAAATGAAATATTAATGTCCTAGATCATTCTAATTATTGGGATTTGTTGATAAATCATAAATTCCTAGACATTATTTTATGTCTAGTGTAGATATGGTAGTATCTATTGATTGTGAAAAAGCTAAAAAATCTTTATCTTCTTTAATTATAGCTCTTATTGCTACTAAAAAAGTTGCTATTGCAAGATTTGTTGGAAGAGAAAAAGGTTCTCCTAAATTAGTTGTGTTATTACCTCATAAATCAAAAAGTTATTCTTGTTTTTGGATGATTTCATTACCTACTACTGAAGATATTAGACATTTTCAATTTGCTGCTTTAAGAAAATCTACTCCTAATTAATAAATTGCTGTAGCCTCTTTAATTGATAAAATGGATCTAGAAAATCTTCCAAATTAATCAGGAGAACCAGAAGAATTACTTAAAATGAAATATGTAGCCAATCCAACTAGACAATATTTCTAATAAGTTGTTATGCATAAAGCCATTACTAGAACTGATGTTATACCTCCTATTTCACCTTTAATTCTAGAATATTTACATCCTGAATAACGAGTATATAATTATGCATAAGATGCTATATAAAGAGTGAAAAATGCATTTAAATTTAAAGTTAATGAAATTAAATAACAATAAGATAAAAAAGTATTTTGGAAATAATTATTTGATGAATAAACTACTTAATAAGTTTAATAATAAATATAAGAGGAAGTAGTAGAAATTAATAGAGAAGAAGAAGAAATGGTTAATATGTTTGCCAAATAGAAATTGGGATTCAATGATGATATCATTTAAGAAATAGGTTCTGTAGATCCAATTTCAGATTTTAAGAAAATGATTACTGAAAAAAGAGTAGATTAAGTTGATTCTGCCCTTTAACAAATTTAAAAAGTTATAATTAGTTTAGTTGATTAATCAATAAAAGGCAGTTTCTTTCCCAAAGCCTTAGAATGTTTAAAAGAAATGAGAAAAGCTTGTATTTCAGAAGATGAAACACCTGTTTTCAATAAATTCCTCTTTGTACTTAAAGATAAATATAATTAATCTATGTTTTGGGCTTAGATTGTGCAATAAGGAATCACTTTGATAAGTAACATTGAAAATTAGAAATCAACAGTAACTGCTGAGGAAGCATAAGATGTAAATATATATTATTAATTTTTAGTTCCTGAACAAAGAAGACAATAAACATTAGTAAATGGTTGATCAATTATAACATGAAGAAGAAGATTTATTAGCTGATATTGAATGATTATAATAATTTATTACAATAAAAGATAAATAAGTTATTAATATTAACAAAAATCTTAATTATTACAATTCTTATCTTAGATTTTATATATCAATTATTGTTTCTAATAGTAATTGAGATAAATCAAAAATAAAAAAAGAATATATTTAAGATTGAGAATTTAGATAATTTAATGATATATACCTTAAATAAATGAAATTTTAAGTCATTTCAATTATATACATTAATATTTGTGATGTTTGGATATTTCATCTAATTTTTTTAATAAATCTTTTTAATATTCTTATGATACTCTTTTAGGAAATTAAATTTAGATTTAATTCTATTCTAAATCTGAATATATTTTAAATGAATTATCAATTACATTTTCTGTATTTTCATTGTTAATTATTTTATTTTCATTTATACTCCATATAGTAATTTATTATTATTCTGTTGATTATTAATCTATATTAATGTCTATTTATTATTCATCCTATGTAGAATAAATAGAGAATGCTTTACAACATTAGGCTTTAAACTCAGTTTTGACTTTTTCATAATTCTAAACTAATTCCTCTTTACTCAAAATTGAATTATTGATAGTTGTAAATTTAGATAAATATTATTTTAAGTGTTATTATTATTTAGATAATGCATTTTGAATTTCTTTATTTAAATTATTTTATTTTGTTTTTACAACTATCAATAATAATTATAATAATTTTTCAGTATAATAAATAGCATTACTAAGAAAATATGAACATTTGTTTTCTTCATCTATTTCTGAAATCATAATTAATTGATCATTATCTTATATTAATTACAAATGTAATTAGTCATCTGAATTATGTTTTTTCATAATTTTTAATTTTTATGTATTAAAATTAATATAAACAAAAATCAATTATTAAATTTGTTAACTCTTTTCTTTTTTTTTAATTATATTTTATCTTTTTAGAGTTCTTAAATATTATCATTAGATTCTTCCATTTGAATTTATCCTTTTTAAGTTTACATTTCTTTTTTTCGAACTTCCATTTCAGCAACCTCTTCTTTAATAACTTTTCTGATTTAAGGTGCCAATTATTATATTTGACGACGTATTTATTTAACTTTATTAATATCTGCTATCATTGTAAATAACTATTATTTTGATTATCGTATCATTTTTTTAAATTTTACAACTTCATTTTCCAAACATATTGTTACTGATATACCTTATGCACCTATCCTAGCAGTTCTACCAACTCTATGAATATATCTAGTAACTTCATAAGGAATCTCATAATTTATAACTGCTTTAACCTCTGTCATATCTAATCCTCTAGCAGCTAAATCTGTTGCTAATAAAAATTAAAATTTTCCTTCCTAAATTTAATTCATTATTTTACTTTAAAATCTTCATAAGCTTAAATTCTTTATTGTTATGATAGATTCCCATGTAATTCACAACTACTCATATCTAAAAATCCTAAAATTATTGCTAATCTATGACAATCATGTTTAGTTTTAACAAATATTATAGTTTTCTCTTTGAATTTTGTTTTCAATAAAGTAATAAGTCTATAATTAAATATTATATATACGTTGCTTCTCTGTCTGCTTCTTAATTGGATCTTATTCGTAATAAATACTGTTTTAATCCATAAGCTAAACCACCAACAAAATCAACATTAATTTTTATTGGATTATTTAATGCCAATTAAGATAATTATTTTACAGTAGCATTAAGAGTAGCACTAATTAAAACAGTCTATCTATCTTTTGAAGTTGCTTAAAGTATTTATCTAATTTCTTTTTCGAATCCCATTTCCATTAATCTATCTGCTTCATCAAAAACTAAAATTTCAATACTATAAATATATTAGTATAAAATACTTTTGAATTTCAATACTAGATGAATTAGTTAATAAATCAACTATTCTACCTGGAGTAGCAATTACAATATCAGGATATTTTCTCAATTCAGCTTCTTATTATTATATTGGAACAGCTCCAATTACTAAAGCTGCTGTACAATTAGCATATTTATTTAATTTTTCAAACATTTCAAAACATTATAGTGCAAGTTCTCTTGTAGGTAATATTATCAATGCTTTGGAATATTGTAAATTTTTAAGATTGCCAAAACGCTACATAATAGGTAATAGGAATGCTGCTGTTTTACCTGATCCAGTACATGAACTAGCTAAAACATCCTTACCATTCATAATTATTGGAATTATTTTAGCTTAAACATTTGTAGGATGAGTATATCCCTAATCATGACAAGCTTTGACTAATGCTTTATTTAATTTTAATTAATGAAATTCTATATCTATAGCAAATATTTTAGAATCTAATTATTATTATTCTTATTCTTGATTATCTTCTTCTATTTATTCTTCTACTTCATTAAATTTTTCATTTTATTATCTTATTTTTAAAGCAACTTTATTTAATTTTGATTTAATTTTTTAATTTAAGGTGGATTACTTACTAAATGATTGTTTAGTTTATTGTATTACTTTATCCTTAATAGTTTGTTTATCTAATGGTTTTTGAAGTACTTCTTCTTAAGTATCAAAGAATCCAGAATAAAAATTGATATCTCCCTTTTCTTATTATTATACAAATTCTTCAGAATCTGATTAAATTTATGAGTTGATCATTAATTAATTTAATTAATGGTAAAGGATATAAATTGTTAGTTAATTTATTTACTTAATTTGATATATAAAATATTATAATGTTAAAAATTATAGATATGAATAATTTGTTTGAATAATATACTAATTTTTCAAAAAACAATTTTTGATTTTTAATTTGATTTTTCAATTTCTAATTTTTTTTGATCTAATTCTTTTAAACCTTTTTCTTATTCTTTAATTTCAGCTAATAGAATATCTGTTTATTATTATAGATACTATAATTAAATATTCATTTCATCTTTTTTAGACATTTATAGATTTAATTTCTCTTTAATTGATTCTTCATCTTTTTAATTAAATAAAGTTTAATTTACACTAATTTAATTAATAATTTAATTTTATTTTTCTCTTGTTTCTTAAATTTATTATTTTAATTAATCAATTTTTTTTTATTTTTTTTCTGGAAACTCTTCATTTTATAATAATGATAAATCATATTTTTTTTCAATACTTTTATGTTATTTATATTATTATCTATTTTCTTCTAATTTTGATTCTGTAAATGTATTATTAAATATTTCTAATATAGTAATTCTATCATTAAAATCTGTTGATAATTAAGTTAGTTTTTTTTCTATTTCTTATTAAATACCAATAATGCCTTCTTCTAATTTCATAAAACTTCTTTTTTCTTCTAAATCTTAAATTTATTTTTTGAGAAGTAATCTAGTTTACATTAATTCATTTATATAATTATTATTATTAATTATATCTTCTTTATATTTATCAATAGATTCTTTATTCTCTTTAATTTATTATAATTATTCCATCTATTATTCAAGTGTTTATTTAAGACAAAATTATTCTCCTTCAATTCTTGGAATTTATTACATTTGAATTTTACAAAAATCTTAACGAGATTTGCTATCATAATTTAAATATGAAACAACACTCTCTCTTTCATCACTTAAATGTACAGTACCACTAGATCTCAATTATAATTCACTCATAAGATCCATATTTTCATTATTAATTTAGGCTAATTATTATTTAATTTTATTTAACATCTAAGTTAAATTAGCTTCTTCACTTTCACAAACTTCAATCTTATTGATTTTCTATAGTATTTAATTTTCTGGTATTTCATTATTAATAATAACATTATCTTAAATTTTAAAGTTATGTTAAATCTTCTTCTTTACTGATAATCTAACTTAAGTAATCTATTCTTCAACATCAATACATTATTATATAGGTTATTATTATTCTTCTTCTTAAGGTTCTGGTTCATCTTCTAATATTGATATAATATTAATTTTATCATTAGGTCTTTATATACCCTATATCCACCAATGTTCTTTAATTTAAGATATAGTAATTCTTTTTGATGGATTAATTTAAAAAATCTAGATTAATAAATCTTAGACACCTTCACTTAAATTCTTTTATGAAAATATTCCATTTACAATATTATGTTACAAAACATCTTATTTCTTTTTACCTTTTAATTATTCTGGTTTAGGTTCAAATGGAAATTTCCCTGTAAGCATTTAATATAGTATAACACCAAAACTCCAAATATCTAAAGCTTCAGTTTATGGTTATAGATTATATTGTTCAGGACCAAAATGATCATTTCCATTAAAAATTCCTTCTCCATGTTATATATATGTACTAAAACCAAAATCACATAATTTAATTGTAATTTACTTTTTTTCATCTAAAATATAGATATACTATAAAAAATACTTTTTCTAATGAGTATATTATCTAATTTGAAATTTCTATGTACAACATTATTTTTGTGTAAATATTCTAAAATATCTATCATTTATTTAGCATAAAACAATGTTTCTTATTCTGAAAGCTTTTTATCCTTCAATATTTTTTATTACATATTGCCATTATTTAAATATTCTGTGATAAGATAGATGGACTTTATATTAATTATTTAGATAGAATTACTTCTTTGTCTTCAAAATGATTAATCAAACGTGTTGTATATTGATTATCTCCTAAAAGATTCATAATTTCTATTTCTTTAGCAATATTTGGTGATATACGCTATCTTGATAAGGTTTTCTTAATATATTTTTTGATTGCATAAAGTTTATTTTCTTTTCTTAATTTAGCAGAAAATACCTTTCATTTATTGTTATAGTTTACTTGTGAATATTGCCCACAAGCAATAACTTTCATATCTTTAAAATCTTACATATTTTTTAATATTTATTATATATAAATAAATTTTGAATGTATTTGATAAATGAATTTATACAAATTGATATAATCTATATATATCTTAGTATAATAGTTATTTCATTCCACAAGAAAATTGATAATAATAATACATTAATTATATATTTATTTTGTAGAAAGAATCTAAAATATAATATAAAAATACTTTTTATTATTATATGAGAGACAGTAGAGAAAGAGCAAATACATAAATTGATTATTCTTCATATGAAGATATTCTCAAGAAATACAAAAACTAACCTCAAACAAGCAATTTTTCAACTTAATTGGAATCTATTCAAGAAGATGATGGTCCTTCAAATTTTTCTATTGATTAAATGGAAAAGGATACAGAAAAGAACTAGTTTCTAAGAAAATCTAATGATATGGATCTTGTTAATCAAAATGATTGTATCTATTAAGTATATCAATTTAGCAATCTTTAAATCCACTCTAAGTACAGATAAATTAAAAGAACTGAAATCAGGTAAAAATGAATGTTGTATATGTCATAAGAGTGGTACATTAATACATAAATTAAAATAATGTAAATTCTGTGGAAATGTGATATGTAAAGAACATGGAAAAAAGAAAAGAAAGGATCCAAATAATAGTACAAAATTTAGGCGATTATGTGAAATATGTGAAGACAAATATATAAGACTTAGTGTAGAAACAGCATATACATAAAAAAGAGACTAATTAGCATAATAAGCATTAATATTGGATTCTTAATCTAAAGAATTGTTATAGGATATTAGATCTTTGTAGAATTAGATTTCAGAAATCTAATAATAAGGTGTTAAATAATAAGGAGAATATAAATAAATACAAAATGAACTTATATTTAAGACTTAGAAATTAGATAATGAAATTAAAGGCTTTTAAGATGAGAATCTTAAATTAAAATCAACCATTTAATCTATAAAAAAAGAATCAAAATAATTGAATGAAAAATTAGAAGAAAAGAAATTGGATTCTTAAAAGAAATAACATTAATTACATTAAATTGAATAAGAAATACAATATAATGATATTGAATGTTAAAAGATTATGTTAGAAATAGAAAAATTATAATTAAATATTTAATAAAAGAAATAAAAAAATCAACAAAAATAATAATAATAGAAATCTTAAATATAAAAAACAGAAATATAAAATTATTAATAATATATCTTAGCTGATGATTAACCAACTATAAAATAATATAATCCTTATTTAAATGAAAATAAGATTATTAATGTAAATAATGAAAATTAATCTTAAAATAATAATAATAATATTAATAATAATAATGATACATAAGATAGAGAAGAAAATCATTGTTGTTCAATAATGTGATAAATTTTTATAATAATTTAATTTTAATTATAATAATAATATTAAGTCATCAATCATATTTAATATTTAAAAATTCAAATACTTATTCTATAATATTAATATCCTAAAATAAGTATTAAATATTTGTAAGTACATATTCAATTGGTTTACCACTAATTTTCTATTTATTTTCATTAATAATATATAAATTACATATCTAAATAATTTAGCTAATTCTTCAGATTGTGAATGAGCCATATGTATAACACAAGATATTGCATTTTGTAATACTTCACGTAATTCAAACTGTTTCATCATATGACCTAACATATATACATAATCAGTTTTATTTAATAGATAACGATACAATTATTCATTAGAATATTTTCTAATTAATTATTATAGCATTTGACTTATATAAATGTAATCATTTTTATTTAATTCTTATTCATCAAGTGCTAAAATAGTATTGAAAATCTCAGATGTTAGTACTTCAGTTATTACATAATCATTTTTAAGAAAACAAATATTTGCTGTTATATAAATAAAAGCTGTTTAATTTTCTCTCATTTCAAAGTATAAATTACTAAGTGTTTTCAATAATCCATGTTATATAAATAATATCGTTCCTTCATCTGATTCTTCTACTATTTTTGATATTATTGATATTGAAAGCATCATATTTTTATCCAATTTATCCATAATTAAATCTACAAATCCAGCATTTGCTAATAAGTAATTAATAGAATTCTTATTATCTTTTTCACATGAAATCATTGTTAACATAATCTAAAATGTGGCTAAATCTGTATCATATTCAATGAATTTAATACATGTCACAACTAACTTTTTAAACTAACCAATTAAATATTCAATACATAATAAGATGGTTATTTTATATAGCTTCCAAGTACTTCAACTATTTTAAACCATTATTCAAAATTATCTAATAGAAGAGAGATTTCTACCAAATAAGAGACAAAGTCACATTATTCTACCAAGTGATTTAATGGGTTATTTTTTACAATTTTATGTAAAAGAACAACAAATTACTTAATGAGCTCACTATTTTCAAATCTTTAAATTTGAGATAGTAAATAGGGATTTAAACATTCAGGTAAATAGATCTTTTAATAAATACTCAGAACTATAGCTAAAATATGATAATCGCAATTCGTTGCAATTTCACCTAGAAAAGTAATAGTGTTAATGGATTTAAGATTGGCGCTATATTATGAGTCAGCATATTCATTTAATCTTATCAAGTAATTCTCACATTCTTAGAGGTCTCCACGATTGTAAAACTCTAGTGCATACTATGCTAACAATTCAAGGTCCTTGAAATCACTCACAACACCCAAACCTTATTTTGCACAAAAATTGCGCGTTTCTATTAAAATGTGTTTTCAGTTCTTTTTCGGCGAATTTCTACTTGGAATTTATTTCTTTTCTCATGTAGTAACTATAAAGCTGAATCTGCTGTCAAATACATTATATAAATTAATGTATAATTCAATTTAATCAGGTTATAAATAATTTAGTTTAATTTTTAGGAGTCCTATGATAATACTTCAAATCCATAGTATATATTTTATTAGATTCTAATTTTAAAAACATATCTCTTTTTTACTTTTCCATTTCTTCTATAACTTTTAATCTTCTTCTTTATATTTCTAATTTATTTTAACTAAATAATCACATATTTTTATATACATTTAATCTTACAATCTTTAATCTCTCTAATTTATTTATTATTCTAATTATTAAATATAAGATTATTTAAATTAATTAGCCCTAATTACTTGTGATTGTAGTGTAATCCATTTTTAATTCAATCTTGAAAATTTCTACTCTAATTCCAATTAGTTCTAACGTTTAATCAATTGAAATGTTTATTCTTTCATATTTTGTTTATTCAAAAGATTGTGTGATTGATTTCTAAATATATTTTCAGATTTTGCTCTAAATTTATTCATTTATTAATTATGCTCAAATTCCTTATTATAAGTAAGTTATAAATTTAATAATCTTTTCTTCTCAATTAAATTTATCTTATCTTAAAAATATTCTATCTTCTCTTTTATTTTATTAATTTTAATTTAATATGTTTAATTAGATTTTTCTTTTATTTTATCTAAATATTCCTAAGATTATTAAGCCTTCTAATAGATCTAATCTATATTTTCATATTTCTATTTATAAATTTTATTAATCTTGCTTTCATAATTCTTCAATTTTTGTTAACAAATCTAAATATATCATATTTTACTTCTTGAATTCTCTTCATTTACATTTAATAATTGAAATATATATTTTGATTATGAAATTCATTCTTTTACAAAGATGAATTTAAGCTATACTGCATCTAATTCATTTAATTATTCATATATTTCTCTTTTTATTCTTATTATTCAAAATAATAAATGTTGACTCTCTTTAAATTATAATCTAATTAATTCATCAAAGCATCTATCTTCTTTTTCAATTCCTTATATTTAAGCTTGGTCTATAGTTAAAGTATTTTTTATTTGATTTCCTTTTCATGTTGTTTCTACTCAATTTACCATAATATATATTATGCTGCTTTCATATCCTTTTTTTGTTTTTCTAGTTCCTAAAGTGATATGACTTTCTCCTATGAGATCTTAAATTATTGATTCAAATATGGTGATGAAAGGATCTGATTTACAGTAGTAAGTGTACTTATTCTTACATAATTCGATCCTTTGCTTCTTCTATTTAAAGATTACTATCTATAATGTTATTTAATTTCTATTCATTTATTTTTGGTCTTTTTTGTTACTTATCTTCTTATTTCAAATATAGATCAATCTATTGATTCTATTTTATTTAAAAATATGATAATACAAATTTTGTATTCATTTTATCTGGAAATGAAACATTCATTACTATTTTAATAATATCATATATTTTTACTTATATCAAATAAAGTAATAAAATATATATAATATATTGTATATAAAATAATAAATGTTATCATTATAGATTGGATTTCTAAATCATTAATTTCTTTTTTTAAGTAAATTAATTAGTAGATCAATTTGTTAACTATTCTTATTTTGTATTTGCATTGGTAAAGGTTATTTTAATTTCATTGGATTAATATTGTTTTTCTTATATATTTATAACATTTGTTTAGAGAAGTCTTATATTTCAGGAACTGAAGGAAAATCTTATCTAATTTTTTCAGGACGTATTTTTTTATGACCCAATAAATCATTTAGTTTTTTGATACTCAATAGATCATTTATTTTTTATGATTGTTTGGATTCTACTTCAGTTATACTTTTTTTATTTTCTGTATACTTTGGTGGACTCATTCTAGGTTCTACTGTCATTCTATTCTGAGATAACTCATGTACAGAATAACCTTATATAATTGATGGTAGCTTTTGTCTTACAAATTTTCTTTACTATCCTTATTCAAATTAATTTTCTGAGTACATTTATCTATGTACAACAGAAGGACGATATCGTAAAGAATTTATTTAACGTTCAGTTACACTTCCACTCAAAATAGGTATTTAATGTAAATTAGATGGTGATTCATCAGTTATACATCTAATATCAGAGCTCATTTAATTAAAATTTCTTTGAATTGAAATGCTCTTCACTTTCTTATTTGTTTAAAATAATCTTCTTGATTAAGGTACTTGTTCATTATTTAAATAAAGATGTAAATCAAAATTATACATAATTTTATATCATTAATATTTAAATCCATTTTAATTACCAAATAACAAAGGTTATTCATTCTCTGTTAATACATAAACATTATTGAATTATACAATAGCACTTTAAGTATTAAATTCAATAGAATTTGGTAATTCTTTTGATTTCTATAAAGTCTTAGTCTTTATATTAAGAATCTAAATAATAATTCAAATCAAATACCTATGTTTCATTACTCTTAACATCATGTACTGATCCACCAAGAATAAGTATTTGATCATATGATGTCTTAATGGCACAACTATTAAATGGTAATCTTAAATATCCATTAGATAAAAATTTGAATTCTATTTTTGTCTAAAATTCATTATATAACACATAATACCCAAGAGTTCTTTTAAATATCATAGGATTCAATTGAATTGCATGGAGTAAAGATATCACATTTACCTCCTATTTTAAATAATGTATTTTTATCAATTGCAACCAAAGCACATCCACTACATTTAAAGTAAGGATCATCAATAGTTTACCATCTCTTAGTACTTAAATCCAATTTTTCAGCTTTAGCCATTGATGTATTCTCATCATTAGTTGATGATCCACCTACTACAAATAAGAAATTATCAACTTAACAAGCAGATGTCATTGATCTAGGCAATACCATTTCTGAATGTAAAGTCATTTATAAATTAGTGTGATTAAATTCATATACTGAAGCAATTGCTTTGAATCTTGATTTATCTCTATCAACACCCCCAATAACTAAATGTTTACCTGAAGAAGTAGTATATAATCTATGAAATAATGGAACCTTAATTGTACTATTGATAGTTTCAATCTTATATTATTAAGATTATATGTCATATATATATGCTGCATAACCACCTTCTTCTAATCTTACTAATACTTATGGTTTGCCATCTTCAAAGTGATTTAAATGATTAATTTAATATTTTGCTTCATCATTAGTAAGACTTTCAGAAATCAATGTTATTGGATTGATAAGTGGAGGTGGTATTTCAGAAATATGATTTAATTTCATTGTAGATTGATTTAATTTATCTTCAATTTTAAGACTCTTATTAGTATTAGTACTTTATTAAGTATTTATTTATTATGTATTTTTGATAAAATAACACATTTTTTTACAGTATGTTTAAAATAATTCAATATTATTTTTATCGAATATTATTTTGATTTAAGATTACTAATAATTTTGTATTAATTTATCTAAAGATATTAAACTCTTATCAGTGAATAGTTCTTACTTGCCATCACATATTTAAATGACAGCCCTAACATAATTATCATTGTGTAAATCTTCTTATAATTTAGTAAGTTTATTTTGTTATTATAGGATATCTTATTCTATTTAATTTAATTATTTCATATATTCATCTTAATTTTATTCTTTTAAATCTTTGTACAATGTTTCAAAATAATCATCTATTATATTTGATATTTATTCATGTATTTATCTTAATTATTCAAGATTATTATTATATAGTATAGATGGTTATTCTTAAAAATACTTTTTAGAATCTTGCAATTTAAATTACAATGATTTTGATAGTTCATCTATCTTATAAGTATTATCTTTTCTGACTCTTTGAATATTTTCTAATTTAGGTACTCTTCCTTTTGCTTAATGCATTTCAAGATGTTCATTAATACATTCTGGACAAAGAGGTTCAATACAATTCTTGATATAAAATACAACATACTTGATCCTAACATAGATTAGTTATAAAAAATTCTGGATGTGTTGGACATGGTACATACATGAAATTAGCAAATTAGGTCATATTGGACATTTTACTAGTATTATTAACATTGACTTCACCCAATATACTACCAATATCAGATTGATCAACATTAATAATTTTAGATTTCACTTATTAAGTAGTTGGTAATTTTCTATGATTCTGATATTAATATTTAAATTTAGTTACTTGTTCATTCTCTTAAGTATTCTATCTTTCATTTGGAGATACATATCTTTTAGATGCACTATGACTACGACTGTCATTTATAGGAGATTGTGACCTATTCATGAAATTCAAATTTTATAATATGTTAAATTTAATTTTCATTCTTGTTTTAAGAATTCATTCTCAAGAACCAGAAATTTGTTATAAATTAGAGGGTCATTTATGTGTAAATAATTAAATTGTTGATATGACCTTTGCTCCCCTAGATTCAATTATAGGTTTATGGAGATTTGATAAAAATCAAATGGATGATAGTCAATTATTAAATCACATATAATAACCTTGTGAACTTGGTCCAGGCAGAGGAGCAGTTGGCAATTCTGTCTATTATAGTGGAGAATAATATTCAATTATTCCACATCATGATCAATATCATGAGATAGTCACTATTTCCATGTGGATATATCCATTGTCTTCATAATAATCATTTACAACTATTCTGCGTAAAGCTTCGAAGTCAAATGAATATACTCCAACAATATTATTGTGGCCATTTCATGATGAGGCAAATGTTGGAGGAGGATAAATAGAAGTTATAGTTAGTACATCTTATGATAAGGAGAATCTTCGTAGTAAAGGGAGTGTGACTGGTAGGAAATGGAACCATTTAGCAATTGTTTTATAAGGTTTAAGCATTGATTTATATATAAACGGTATTCACGACAATGTATTGTCTTTGAAAGCCAGACCTTTAAAGAATGATGGACCCTTCTATATAGGAGGAGATCCCTGGTTCAATGGTCCTTTATTATATTTAGATGATCTAACCTTCTACAACATACCATTTTTATGTATATATATTTATATATACATAGAATTGGAAATAAGTAAATTAGTCAATTTTCCTGGATAAGTTAATAATAGACTGTTCTATTTAGGTTGTGATGGATGCAATTATCATTAGAGTTTGAGTAGTTGTAAATAAGGTTGGCATTTATGTTCTCTCTCTGAATTAACATCTGGAATATATATGCATGCTCGTTAAAATGGTTGGTTAAGATTAACTAAAGATTTCTGGTCTAGAATTGATGAAATAGATGAAGAATTAGCAAAGAATTATTTAGATCCTTAAAAAACTAAAGCAGCTATATGTTGTTCAGATTCTTTTTATTGATTTATATTATATATTTATATTACCATAAACTTACTATAATAAATATATACAAAATAATTATTTTATTTCATCTAATATATCAAATGTTTTCATTTGTCTCATCTATCTTTAATTAAAATATAAATTGTTGTCAATATCTTATTAGTCATTATATAATACTCCAAATTATTATACAATTGAATCTTTAAAGAAATTACACTCTTAATTGAAATGTACATAAGAAATTACTATAAACTATAAATTATAATATTAAATGAATTTATATCATGTTATTGCAAAAATGCATTAATACTTAATTAGAAATCTGAACACATTACTACTTAAAATGATGCAATTTGTATATTCCATTAATCATATGATTTTATTATAATAGCTTATTTGTTTTATTATATACTATAAAACCAATTAAGTGTTCAATTCTAATTGTTATTTAATCAAATAATTGGTTTATGGTTCCGTTTTAGAAATATTATTCTAATGAAGAATTATTATGTTAAAATTATGAAAAATGTGATTTGTAAATTAATAAATCATTATGACATTATATTGTATTTAAAATTAACATCAAATGGAGGCATTTTTTGATTTAAGGTAACCATCCTCAAATACTTTAGTTATTTCGAAGATCTAAGAAAAATATGTTCATAGGATACATATAAAGAAAAGTTAAGGGTGTTTCTATTTAATCCATATATGGAATTAAAGGAACATCAAGAAATTGTAGACCTCTTCATTGAATATGTATTTTGTTTTTTATCTTATTAAGGCTGAATTGTCTCAAGAATTTGAGATCATTTTTGAACATATGATCAATCATAACATAGGTATTAAAGAACCCTAATTCTATCATTACTTTTTCAATAAGCTTAAAGAGATCAATTACAGAAAAGCTCTATAATGTATTTAAATGGCTAAGCAGTATTTTTTTATAAATTATTATAAAATAGATTTTGTTATTCAAATTTTGAGTAAATTGAGAATATGAATTAAGAATTAGAGAATATCCTACTTTTCTAATTTGAATCTTATTATCATTCTCAAAATTGTTCTAAAAAATAAATTGAAGAGAAACTCAAACAATTTGAACTTAAGTTTTATTAATCAAAAAATAAAAGAATCTAAATCCATATAGATGAATAATACAGAAAACTAGATCTTAAAGCAATCATACATGAAATTGAATCATTCAAAGAAAATAAATGTCATTCTAATATATCCACTTAAATTCCAATAACTTAATCATATTATTTAAATCCTGAAGAATCAGATTTCAATAATTAATTAGAATCAAAAGAATTCAAACTCATTAAACCAAACTTTTAAAATAATCGTAATAATCTTCAAATAGTCACTCAATCACCTAATTACTCTAATGATATTGCTGTTTCTGAAGAAATCAATAAATTAACTCCTATTAGTTCTTCTTCTACATCTAGTAGATACCTCTTTAAAATGAATAATAATTACAATATTAAATCTAATCAATAATAAAAATTAATAATACCAATACCAACTATCAATTAATAAATAAGTCCATTAAAATCATTTAATAGAATGAAATACAAAAGTATCTAGAAACTAAGATAATTAATTTTTGAAGATAATGTTAAAAGTTCTGTTAAGGAACCTTTAAAATTTGATTCACCATAATGATTTATATATATTCTTAATTACTGTGAACAAAATAATTAATTAAATAAATGTATTGCTTTTTTAAAACAACGACAACAACTAAAAGAAGCTTATTTGAACTTAAATCTGTCAATTTATAGTTGTATCCAAATGAACTCTAAGTTATATAAGATACCGATGACTTAAGAAACAAAATTATTTAGGGGAATTTTTAAGTCATTCCACAATATTTACAACTATTCCTTAATAACTTAGTATTATATCCATATATAATTAGAAACCTATTCTAAACAAATAGCCACTCTTCCATCCCTCATTTACCTATGAACCTATGGTAAGTAATTGTTAATTAAAATCACCATAAGGTATATATTAAATTCTATATTTTAGATTGTTAAGAAGCATTTGAAACAGATTATGTTATGTTAATTTATTCATATTGTTGTGGCTAATTGTTTGATAGTTTACAATAAATCAAAAATATTAGATAAGCAATAATAGAAAATAAATTACCTAATCCTAATGATATAGATATTGTTTTATAAAAGATGAAAACATCTTATGCTTTTATAAAACACATAAAAAATGATTCCTAACAATTATTGCCAAAATTATCTTAAAAAAAAAACTTTGATGTTGAAGAATTTAGTTCTTAATTTTTCATTAGATATAGTACATATTTTATTATTATGACAAATTTAATTCATTATGAAAAGTTTTAGTAAATGAATTCAGAATAAGAATTAATCAATAGATAAAACTTATGTAGTACTATGTATAAATTATTGATATCAATTGGGAATTTGGGAACAGATAGATTAGGGATATATTTAAACTATTTATCAATTTACTTGAAATGTTTAGGATATAAAAGTATTATGGATAGATATTTGTATTGCATTTAAAAAGAGTATTATAAAGAGAAATGTAATGATATATTTATTAAATTTAAGCATTTACTGTTATGATTTTAGAACTTATTCAATTAGGTTAAGAATTAAAATAGATTTGTACAATAATATTAAATAAATAATTGAATGAAGATTATTTAGATATATTCAAAATATAAGCATAAAGATGGATTGCCTTTTCAGATGTTTAAATAAGAGTACATTCAGGAATTGCAAGAAATCCATAACCAATTTTAACAAATGAATAAATCTTATTAAATTTAGGATATTATAATTGTTTGGATTGATTAATTGATATGTTTTACTAATTTTCATTTTTATTTGTTGACTTTATTCTATAATATCCCAGATAAGTATTTAAATTAAAAAATATTCTTTCGAACAACTATTAATACTAATGGATATCTAAGTTAGATACTAAAATGAATAAATTACTTTTATTGGAGTACAATCATATGAGGATTTGTAATAAGAAATCCAATAAAGGTATCCCCTTTTAACAAATATTGAATTGTCATATTAAGATGAAGAAGGTGATACAATTCAAGTTTCAAATACAAGTGATATCATTGCAATAGTAAGTTTTATGATTTAACATTACTAGACAGATTTTACTAAAGTGATTCTTTAAATGGATGCATAAATAGATTAATAGAAAATCTAAGAATTAGAGAGAGCTAAGAAAGTGGAAGAATTAAAATAGAAACGACTTGAAGAGTAAAGAAAAAAAAAAATGGAAGTAAGATAATACAAATTAATCATTTAGGAAATATAAAAAGAAATGGATAAAATTTAAGAAATAAACTCAGAAAAAGCTTTCATAGAAGAATAATTTAAATAAAAATCTGAAGACTTAAGGATTCGTTGTGAAGAATTGTAGTAATATCAAAATCAACCATTGCCTGATTTTAAATAAGTTTTTTATGACTCCAATTTTTTGGATTTAATTAGATAAAAGGAATCTGAACTATTGGTATTAGTAGTAAATAATTATAATTTAATATTTTATAGGATTAAAAAGGATTCGATACTTAATTAAAAGCAAACCAAAAGAATTTTTAAGAGACATTTGAAAAATTATTTGCTAGAAGGACTATATAACATTAGGAAAACTATTCTAGATGGTTAGATAACAAACATAAGATTAATGATATTAATTAATAGATTAAGTAAGTAGAAAATGAGAGATTGGGAAAATTATAAAAATTAGATGAAAAATTGAAAAGACTATAAGAAAATTTGATTAAGATTAAAGCAGATTTAAATATGCCTTAGTAAAATGATGATTAATTTTGATTCATTTATATATATATATTTCATAGATTTGAGTCTTCTATCCTATAATTATCAAAATTAGTTATGATTATATTGAAATTTTTATGTATTAGAAGTGATATGTGAATTAAATACAATGAAA